TTAAAAAAAAAAGAAAAAAAAAAAAGAAAGAGGACCATCACATTCATAAAACAATTTTATAAGGATTAAGGGCTTGTTCATTCAAGAATTATTAGTTAAGAGTATAAACTATTAGTCTAAGGAATTTACTAGTACTTTAGGTCTAAGTTAAGAAGCTTTACTACCTTGCCACCTGCCTTTATCTCTCCAAATCTTATTATGCAGATAAGACAAAAGACTAAATAAAAACAACAGCTTACAGGAGCACTAATATTCCCCTTAAATGATTTAATCTTACACGCTTTGCAAACCTACCACACTGTACAATGCTTCGAAAGCGGAGATCACAAGCTGGTCCAATCCCATGGACTACAAAAACCAAGTGATCTATTTGTAAAGGTTCTCCTGTAAATGAAATTAAAAAGAAAAATTATTTCATATAACTAGTCTTATATTCTGTTTATAGTCAAATATTCACAAAGAATAGGCTATAAAGATGGGTAAATTAAAATATAAGATCATTTTCTTTAAGAATTTATTTATTTGAGAAGTGGGGAGAGGGGCAGAGGGAGAGGGACAAGCAGACTCTACACTCAGCAGAGGCTCAATCCCACAACCCTGAGATCATGACCTGAGCCAAAAATCAAGAGTCGGTCCCTTGGGCACCTGGGTGGCTCAGTCATTAAACGTCTGCCTTCGGCTTGGGTCATGATCCCAGGGTCCTGGGATAGAGCCCCGCATCGAGCTCCCTGCTCGGTGGGAAGCCTGCTTCTCCCTCTCCCACTCCCCCTGCTTGTGTTCCCTCACTCGCTGTCTCTCTCTGTCAAATAAATAAATAAAATCTTTAAAAAAAATAAATAAATAAACAACCAGTAACCAATATTTTATGTTATAAAAAAAAAACAACTGCTATTTGAAATTCATACTACATCAGTCTCTTAACCTTCCAGAAGGTTTACGCTTAGAAGCATTACCCACTAGGAGAAGATTCCCAAGTTGGTACATACACTAAATATGTACAATTAAGTTTTAGAGGACATTACCTTTCAAAATCAAGTTATACTAATGACCTAAATATTCTAAATAGAATATCAAGAGCTTTACCACACTAATGAATTACAAAAATGATTGTTGGTTCTGTTATTCATTTTTTTTTTAAAGATTTTATTTATTTGACACAGAGACAGCAAGAGCAGGAACACAAGCAACAGGAGTGGGAGAGGGAGAAGCAGGCCTCCCCTCGAGCAGGGAGCCCGATGCGGGGCTCGATCCCAGGACCCTGGGATCACAACCTGAGCCGAAGGCAGACGCCCAACGACTGAGCCACCCAGGCGCCCCCTGTTATTCATTTAAACTATATCATCGGGGCACCTGGGTGGCTCAGTCATTGCCTTCGGCTCAGGTCATGATCCTGGAGTCCCAGGATCGAGTCCCGCATCGGGCTCCCTGCTCAGCGGGGGGTCTGCTTCTCCCTCTGACCCTCCCCCCTCTCATGCTCTCTATCTCATTCCCTCTCTCAAATAAATAAAATCTAAAAAAAAAGGTTTTAAATAATCACAGTTATCAAATTCAGGCAACATAACATTGGTAGGATACTTTTATCTAATATTCCATTTTTATCAATTATACCAATAATGTATGGTGTGTATATAAACCCTAAATTTTTAAACTCATCTTTTTAGTTTTTATTTTTTTTAAGTTTTTCTTTATTTAAGTAATCTCTACACCCAACATGGGGCTCGAACTTACAACCCTGAGATCAAGAGTCATATACTCCCTCTGACTGAGTCAGCCAGGTGTCCCCAAACTCATCTTTTTAAATTATAGTAAGTCTAAGACTTGTAAGTATAGTAAGTCTAAGACAAGCCATCTCCTCTCAAAGATAAAAGGAATTTTATAATCCAGTTAAATATATTATAAAACCAACCATAAATGGCCCTAGCTAGATAGCAATGGATAACCATCAAAGTTCTACTGAAGAAGTTTTCCTTAGTTCACAATCTTCAAGAACAGGAGTTACCAGAAATTAATTTTTAATCAAACAGGTGGAATCACACTTCTTAAAATTAGAACTACATCAGTTCATTTGTACCAAGTGACTTCTTGATTAGTACTGCCAAATTTTACCTATTCCACAATATATATACTTAGCAACCTTAAAACAGATTTTTATATCTATTAAGATTCTTAGTGGGGCACCTGGGTGGTGCAATCAACTAAGTTTCAGCTCAGGTTGTGATCTCAGGGTCATGAGATGGAGCCCCACCTCCAGCTCCACACTCAGCGCAGAGTCTGCTTGAGATCTCTCTCGCTCTCCCTCTGTCCCTCCCGCTTGTGTGCTCTCTCTAAAATCAATAAAAAAAGATTCTTAGTAGATGAAATGATGCTAATCTTAACTCATAATAAGCCCATATGACTAAATCATTTTTAAGCCTTGAGGTAATCCAAAACCATAGAAAAAGGTCATAATTTAAGTCATAAATAAGTACATCAGAAGAAAAAATAAACAACATTACCACAATGAATGTCAACAGAGATGTTCTCAACCCCTCTCTTCACTGTTCTTGGTCGACCCTGTTCAGTGGGTGTTGAACCCCATTCATCAGACCCTGCAACTGGCTGGTAATGCACCATAAGCTTAAATAGAAAAGATGAGAGCAATAAATATATTCTACATTATAGACATCTCTATTTATACACTCTGAGGGACAGGAACATGTCTTTCAAAACAGAATATATAGTCAGATCTCAAGTGGAATTTTGATATGCAACTCTGATGGCTTGAAATGAGAACCCTGAAAATACAGTAGGCCAATGTTGTACATGTTAAATACCTTACGATTTTGTCAGTTATACCTCAATAAAGCCAAAAAAAAAAAATATCAGGCTAACAGATCTTTCAATAATACCCTACACATGTAAAATATGCCCACATAATGGGTCAGTGATATTCTTAATCTACAGTGGCATAATTTTCTCTAAGAAAATTCTTTTGTATAAGATGAAGGAGGTAAAAAATAGTGGCAGTGGCTACAAGTTTCATAATTGTGAATGCAATGTAAAAATTTCCAAAGGGTACCCTAAATAGAATCCCCATGAAAAAGAAACCAATTAAGTTCCCCTTAGGAATGCAATTAACCTTTAATCCCACATGAAAGGCTTAATTTGCTTTACCTTTGGATTGTGTAATATAATAATTTCTCTGTTGGGAGACTCCAGTTTCTTTTTCCACTCATCCAGAGTTACAGCAAGCATGTACGTTTCCTTAAGAGAAAACACATTTCATTAGCTTTCTCTAATAGCTTTTCTATTAAAACTGAACTTTTTACAAGAATACTGCTACATAAACAATTACATAAGAATATCCGACTCCAATTTATCAAATATTTGAAAATGCTTTTAAAATTACAACAGATAACAGTAGGTCACTCCTAATTTTATCATCTAGACTAGATAAAATCACTGTTCACATTTTGATATACTTCTTTCAATAGTATTAATGTCTACTCCAATTTAAAGAAACCAAATTTCAGACTGTTTCCAGAGCCAGAAAAATAAAAGGCTGAAAAGACCAATCCTGCGGTCATAATTTAAATATTATTAACAATGATCACCTTCAGGGAAAAAATTTTAACTTAAAGCCATAACAGTTTACATAGTAATTTAAAATCTGAAAAGAAAACTACTTTATCTTGAAACTAACTTGCAAAAGAAATGCCATACATGTGATCCAGACAGAACCAAACTCTTTCCAGAAATTTCACAAAAAGAAGTCACAAGAAAAGATTATTAAATAAGAGAAGAAAAAAATGAAAATAAGTGAAAAGGGGTCAAAGAAATACCTCTAATACTTGGCTGAAGCTCTCTGAGTAGGGAACATACTTATTATCTTTGTCTCCCTTGTAAAACCAGGTACATCGTCTCACCTCCGATGCCAGCTCATCCCAGTATACAGCATACCGCATCCTCTCCCCCAAATGCACATCGTATCTGCCCCCATCAGTGGGGACAACTCTCCCATTACAATCTTTTCCTATCAAGGATTGGAAAGGGGGAAAGAAGTACATATATAAAAATAAATCTCCCAAAATACAATTCTGAGTTATACTCTAAATAATGTTATGAGACATAAGAATGAACATTTTCTACTTGGCTAAACATTAAGCAAAACGGAATTGCATTTTTTCACTACTTCCCAAGCCATCAAAACCATTCTTGGTTTTAATGATACATGAAAAAGATAATACCCGAACACTGTTTTGTTCTTTTTCTGAGAGACAGTCGTGTCCCATTAAACAAACAAAAGTATATAAGGGTTTTCTGAATTTTTTGCTTGAGGAGCCAAAAAGTAAATTAACAACCATGACCATCATGATGATAAAACAGTTACCAGTGTCATTCTTGTTTCATAAAGGAAGAAAAAACAAGTGACAAGTTAAAGAATTCATTCTTTTGCAATGTGACATGCCCCCATTCTTCATAAACAAAAACTGAAACATATGCTGGAAGGTAAGAAATATTATTAAAGGACGCCTAAGTGGCTCAGTTGGTTAAGCAATTGCCTTCAGCTCAGGTCATGATCCTGGAGTCCCGGGATCAAGTTCCGCATAGGGCTCCCTGCTTATCAGGGAGTCTGCTTCTCCCTTTGACCCTCCCCCCCCACCCTCTCATGTGCTCTCTTTCTCTATCAAATAAATAAATAAAATCTTTAAAAAAAATATTATTAGATAACTACGCAGAAATTACAATAAGTACTATTTTCAAATACAGACCAAATTCTTAAATATTATAAATTGGTTAGTAGTGCAAAACTTCTATTTCTATATAAAAATGCTACAGAAGAGAGAACTGCAAAAAAATATGCTACAGAGAGAACTAGAAAAAAATCTAATATTTTTAATAGCATTCAATATAAGAACTATTATATTAGACTGAGAGAAATAGTCTTAATCTATTAAAAGTCATCATTTTCATCCTACCAGAACCATATGCCTCTTCCAGCTGCTGTGAATCCTCAGAGTTGAAAGGAATCCATGTCTCCTTAGAATCTATTATTTTACAATAAAACCAATGAGGAGAAACTGGCTCATACAAACTGCCAGCATCCATGTCTAGTAGTTCAAAGGAACTACATGAGTTTGGTGATGGGGATGGATCTGACTGGGACAATTGTTGCTGGTGTGATTCCACTGATGACATTTCGCTCTCTAAAAGACAAGATATAAGAAAACTATCGGGAAAAATCATTTTTCTTCTATTAACAATGACATTTCTCTCTCTCTCTCTCTCACACACACACACACACAACTGGTCATTTTAAGGTGCCATTTCTGGAAAAAAAAATCTCAAGAAATAACGTATAAATTAACAGCTGGATTTGAGGGGGAGCTTTAAACAAAATGCTTCTTATAGTCAGACCAACCACTTCACATTGATTTCCCAATTTCCCAATTCTTTCAGAAAATTGCATGGCTTTTATACAGACAAACCAGAGGGGCGCCTGGGTGGCTCTGTCAGTTAAGCATCTGCCTTTGGCTCAGGCTCAGGTCATGATCTCAGGGTCCTGGAATGGCTTCGGGCTCCCTGCTCTGCGGGGAGTCTGCTTCTCCCTCTCCCTCTGCTCCTCCCCCTGCTCCTGCTCTCGCTCACGCTCTCTCTCTCAAATAAATACAATTTTAAAAATAATAAAATTAAAATAACTTTAAAAAAAGTTTCAGAAGAAGAATCAGAAGAAACACATGGTTAAAAACTTGATTGCAACAAAACATCCTACCCCAATTTCCATCTAAGTCTATTGCTAAAGGCAAAAAAATTTACTCCAACTGTCTTACCTAGATTTTAGGCTCCAGGCCCCTATCATTACACACTTACGTAATCATTGGAATCTTAAAATATTGAAAGTAAAACTATTCACTTAAGAACCTGTCACCTTTTTTTTTTTTTAAGGTTTTATTTATTTGACAGAGAGACGCAGCGAGAGAGGGAACACAAGCAGGGGGAGTGGGAGAGGGAGAAGCAGGCTTCCCACAGAGCAGGGAGCCCGATGCGGGGCTCGATCCCAGAACCCTGGTATCATGACCTGAGCTACCCAGGCGCCCGAAGAATCTGTCACCTTTTATTGATCCCTGAAGTGTACTTAATTAGCGACTAGGGCACGAATTCTGAAAACATGAATCCTAGTTTGAGCCACTGTGCGCACGCGCGCACCCACTCACACCATCCAAGTCTCAGGAGAAAAGTAACAAGTGACCTCAAAAGCCTCCTTCTCCTAAAGACGACTCTGACCTATATGGTCCTGCCCCTCCAACACTCAGACCACTTGGCAAGAAACACTGCACACACCGAAGTGTACTCAACCTGAGAGGAGTGAGCATTGTGGGTATCTCAGCACCGAGCGCAGCCGGATGGCAAACACCTGGCCTCCTCTGAGCGAAGCTCGCCTGGCTTTCGGCCACTTTATCCTTTTTCCTAGCACCAATTTACCTCCGCCACCTTGGCGCGTCCCTCTCCCCCACGACCCTGGGCCTCCTGCAGCCCAGATCTGGGACCTCAGAGCTCGGGGACTTGCATCCTCCCGCTTCCAGCCCTGCAGAGAGGAGCGGAGCCACCGATGGAACAAGGTAATTTCCCAGTGCCTTAGAGCGCAGTCCGTACAAAGGGAAGCCTGGCCGCTTCACCCGGACCGAGGTCACCCCCCACCCCGGGGTGGTTCTCCCACCACCTCCCTTCTCTGCCTCAGGCATCGCGTCCTCCTCCGCCCCCGGCATCCCCATCCCGCAGTGCCTCCAACCCGCAGCCCAGCGGGGCCTCCCTCCGCCCAGCCGCCCACCCCAACACGCCATCACGGACTCACCTGACAGCCCCGCTGCCTCTCACACACTCCTGCCCTCGCTGAGGGGAGCACGACATGTCCCCGCGGCGGCCTTTCCCCCGAGCGCAGGCGGGGCGGGGCGCAGCAGGGCGGAGCCGCAGGCTCCGCCGGGCTCGTGCCCAACACTGGGCTCCACTGCGCTCCCAGCGGGGGAGCAGCGGCTCGGGCTACCGAGAGCAAAGGTGAGGTGGCGAGCACCGCGGCGTGGAAGTGATGGGTGGGGCAAGGAGGGCCGCAGGAGACTGGCAGGAAGTGTCGCGAGAGGTGGAAGGAATCGCGCGAGATGTGGCTCCTTCCTGCGGGCAGGGAGCCGAAGCGCTGGGCGTGCGGGCGGTGCGTGGGGCGTGCCCTCCGCTCTGAGCCGGCGTGCGGAATCTCCGTCTGAGGTCGGAGGTCTTTGAAAGGCAGGGATGGGGGTAAGACATTGTAGGTGTAAGGGAGCATTTTGAGTTTCAGTGAAAGAAAGCTTCTTCAGAATTAACCAGCCCTGCCTCCTCACTTGGTAGACTAGATGGGAAAAGAGGCGCGCTGAGCCTGGTACTACTCTGGCTAACTGTACTAAAGGGCCAGGAAAGATGAGGAGAACCCGAGGGAGACACAGATGCCACGCCCCTAGTGAGCAATTGGACGATACGGCGCTAGCTAGCAGCAGCTTCCACTTATGGGTGTGGAGGAAAATGGATACTATTGGCATTTGCAAAGAAGAAAATTTGTCTCAGGCCCCTGGGTGGCTCAGTTGGTTAAGCGACTGCCTTCGGCTCAGGTCATGATCCTGGAGTCCCGGGATCGAGTCCCACATCGGGCTCCCTGCTCACCGGGGAGTCTGCTTCTCCCTCTGACCCTCCCCCCTCTCATGCGCGCTCTCTCTTTCTCTCTCTCAAATAAATAAAATCTTTAAAAAAAAAAAATAAAGTTTATCTCTGGGGCTTTGCCCCCTCCCCCTTACATTTCTTAGGATTTCGAGGCTGCCAAAAAGATACGTGTAAAAAAATGTAGCGGTGAGCTTCACCAGATTTAAAAGCTGCACGAGAGGTTGGAAACGAGATATTTTTGTCCAAACACGATGATATAATTGAGGTGAAAAGTTTAAATGAATTTCCCACAGTCATGAAGCCAATGGCCCTGCCCTGCTCTCCTGAGTATTTAGTTTTCTGGAAGACCTCAGCTCCTTTGAGTATTCAGTAAGATGCTTGCCTATTTTCTAACTAGTTTATAGGGCAAGGATTCAGGGAAGTTTTTCAGTTTTGTTATTTCTTCAGAAACCGAGAAAAAAGAATTTTTATAACACATGAATTCTCTTACAGGTTAACAGCCACACACAAATATCCACAAGTTTACTTATACGTTCTGAAACTTACAATACCTAAAAAGCTTCCGCTTCCCAGGGAGAGGGTAAGGAATGCCAGAGTTGTCCCATTCTCTAGACTCTTGTCAGATGACTAGCTAATATCATAGACTAATAGGAGCTAGCATTTACTGAGCTCTTACTACTTCTAGGTAGGCTTGTAAGCATTTTACAAGTGTAATCCCATTTAGTCCTCACCGCAACTTGAAGTAGACTATAGTTCTCCCTATTTGCAAAGGTAAAATGACTTATCCAAAGTCATACTATCAGCAAGTGATGGAGCCAAAATAGCAAACACAGTGTCTGTCTTCAGAGCCTGCACGTTAAGTAACTTACCTAAACTCAGTTCTAAGTGACAAAACCAGACCTTGAATTTAGGTCCTCTATCTCCAAATCTCTGTATCCATAACAGCTGTTCTCAACTTTTTTGGCCTCAGGAACCCTTTACACTGTAATTGAGGACCCTAAAGTGTATTGTTTACGTAGGTTATATCTATCACTGTTTGCTAGAAATTAAAACAAATTTAAATGTTTACTAATTCATTTAAAATAACATTAAAAACCCGTTTCTTATAAATAAATTTTTTAACGGAAAAATAACTATTTTCCAAAATGAAAAAATCAGGGGAAAGAATGACATTGCTTTACATTTTTGTAAATTTCTTTAATGTCTGGTTTAGTAGAAAATTGTTAGATTCTCATAGTTACTTCTGCATTCAAACTGTTACAACTTTAGTTTTGGTTGAAGTATATGAAGAAAACCCAGCTTCCCTCAACTATGTAGTTGGAGAAAGAAGTATTTTAACAGCCTCTTCAGATAAAATTCAACAAATGGTGGCTTCTTAAAGGTTAGTTGCAATATGGAACCTGAAAACATATCAGTGAATATTTTGTACTCTGATACATTAAAATCCGTTGGTCTATCTTGCACTTTGAATGGCTTTTACCTATACATGATTTATGACATCAAACATTGGTTATTTGGAAAATATCAGTTCACAGTGCTATTCAGTCTTCCAAATGTTAACACATTTCATTATACAATATATATTTTTTTAATTCCCACCGGTCTCATTGGAAGAGCCTTTAAGTATTGGGAAGCTGTCAAGCTCTTAGTAAATAAAAGTTCTCTAAAGTCTGCTTTTTTCTTAAAGGGTCACATTTTATCATTGGCAACAAATACTGTCAGTTGTTTTCCTTGAAGTAAAAAGCTCACTTTGTTTTCAAGAGAGGCTCTGTCAAATAGCTAAATCTGACTAGTCCTAGTTCTCTGTTGTACATTTAAGTAAAAATGATGATCCATGAAAACAAGAGTAGCTAGTGCAGTTACCAATTCAAATCACCTGTTAAGTGCTTTTTCCTCAACAGACCAGCATACTTCAGGATGCAGAACTGTTTTAGGCATACTATTTTGTCAAACAGAATATGAAAAAGGTGTGAATGCGAGGGTTAATATTTAATAAAATTAATAATTTTTAATTCATGAACAGTATTCTTAAGTGAAACGGGCACTATTTTTATTAGGAACGCATGGCAGTGCACAATACAATGACTGACAGTACAATTTATTTCCACTGCCTTAATTCTTGCTAAGGCGCCAACAGTTTTACCCACCATTGCTTTTGCATCAACAGTGCAAATGTCAGAAACACAGCAAAAAAAAAAAAGCAAATCATGTCTTAGTATTAATAGTTTTGATCTTGTGATCCCTGAAAGGACCCCCGGCATGTGTGGACTACCCTTTGAGAACTACAGCAATTAAATGTGCCCACCCTGCAGCTTGGAATATAAAAGTAATGAATAACACAATACCTACCCTGAAGGAGTTCAGTCTTAAGAGACAAGCAGGTAAACAAATATATCTTGAGTGTCATAACAGATACAGGAGCCAGATACATTGATAGTTACAAAAGAGGGAGTTATCAGAGGTCCAAGCATACCCCCCAGAAATTCTCATTCAGGTTTTTGGTGGGATTCAGGAAT